GATTGATTTCTAGAATATAATATTCTCCCACCAGTATTTTTTCTTAATAGCCTTACCTGGAATACTTTTTCAAAAAGTAAAAGTCACTGCCATTTTTAATTTTCTGTGGTTGTATTGGCTGAAACATCTGGATTTCATGAAAATCTAAGCCTCGTAAAAGGTTTTTTTTTTTTTTCCAAATCTGATTTGGGATATTATACTATGGTGGGGTGGGCATGCCCTTGATTTCTATATAGTACCATGTTGGGGTGGGGGAATGGGGTGCATGCCCTTGGGCTGTTACCTTAGAGGAGGGTCATATGCATTATAAGGCACCTCAAGTACAAAGCACCAGGAAGTTATTTAAAAACAGATCTGCAGGAAGACATTGGTAGCCTTGACTAATACAGCAGTCTCTTTTTTGAGTAGTTCATTAATTGTTAGAACACAATAGCACTTTTGAAATAAAAGAAACTATCATCCCAAATTGAAAGACTTCACTGGCAGTCAGCACGTGGGGCTGTTGTTAGAAGAAAGCTAACTCCCCTGGGTGCAGTGGCTCACGCCTGTAATCCCGGCACTTTGGGAGGCCGAGGCGGGTGGATCACCTGAGGTCGGCAGTTCGAGACTAGCCTAGCCAACATGGTGAAATCCCATCTCTACTAAAAATACAACAATTAACTGGGCATGGTGTCACGTGCCTGTAATCCTAGCTACTGGGGAGACTGAGGCAGGAGAATCGCTTGAACCCGGGAGGCGGAGGTTGCAGTGAGCCGAGGTCACGCCACTGCACTCCAGCCTGGGAGACACAGCTGGACTCCATCTCAAAGAAAAAAAAGAAGGAGAAGAAAGCTAACTTAGTACACTAAGAGTGATTTACATGCCTAGAAATAATTTGTGTCTGGGGTCTTGACCCTCCCCAAATGCCTTGTTATTTATATCTGCTTTTAAATAACAGGTGGTCATGTGTCTATGGGCTTGTACCAGCAGAGGCAACAGCAGGTCCTTAAGAATCCCCAGGTGCCATGATGAAAAGAACCTTAGAAAATATCGAAATAACCTCAAAACTTAGAAAAAAAAATACCAGAAATAAAAGCTAGTAAAGGTGAGAGGTGTGGGGCTTTTGGAGCATAGAGCATAATAAATCCGAATAAAAAGTAAAAATAAGAAAGAAAAAAAGTGGCCCTGATTAAATTATAAAATTAAACATATCTTGAATTCTAACAAATCAAACAAAAATTCTACTAGGCCAGTATAATAGGGCCTGCAGAGCCTGTCATGGGTTCAGGGTTTTCCCATAAAGTTAGGTGTGCCTCAGATACTACTCCCAGGTCCTGGCTTTAACCTCAAAGCCCCTCTGCCTGTCCTGCTCTGAAACCTCTGGGGCAGTAGGCATTGACTTCTGGGCCAGGGAGTAAATGTGCCGTGTCCTCATGTTCTGTGTCCTTACGTGAGCTTCCTATTACCCATTAGCATTGTTTTATGAAGTTTTCAATTTTATATCCTGCCTAATTTCAAAAAGATTGTGATCATCACTTTAGTGGATGATTTGCATTGCAGCAGCTGTTCTCCTAGTCCTAATTAGGGTCTGTCCCTGAGGCCTTTCTTGGGGAGTTGGGATGGGGGCGGGAGAACATCTCAATCTGATGTCGGAAGAGATAAAGACCACAGGAGTGAGAACTGCCAGTTCCAAGGTTTCCATGACGTTCCGGGAAGCCAGGAGAAGTAACAAGTGGAGAGCTGGCATGCCAGGAGCCTGGTGACTTGGATTTTAATCCTGTCTCCCACTGATGACTCTATGGCCTCCGCATACTTCAGTGCCCAGGGTCAGAGTTCCCTCCTGCCACCTCTTTTTAGTCAAGAGCTAGAAGAATGGCCAGCTTCTTTGGGTGGTGGCAAAGGGGATTGTTTATTTATAGTACAGATTCCTGCCCTCCCCCTTTGACCTCCTGAATCAGAATCCCTAGGGACAGGGCCTGGAAGTTTGATTTTTTTAATATTTATTTATTTTTTTTTAATTTTTTTAATTTTTTTTTTTTTTTTTTTTATTTTTTTTTTTTTTTTTTTTGAGGCAGAGTCTTGCTCTGTCACCTAGGCTAGAGTGCTGTGGCGTGATCTCGGCTCACTGCAACCTCTGCCTCCTGGGTTCAAGTGATTCTCCTGCTCAGCCTCCTGAGTAGCTGGGATTACAGGCACGTTCCACCACGCCTGGCTAATTTTTGTGTTTTTAGTAGAGTTTCACCATGTTGGTCAGGCTGGTCTCAAACTCTTGACCTCATGACCCAGCTGCCTCGGCCTCCCAAAGTGCTGGGATTATAGGCGTGAGCCACAGCGCCCACCTGAAATTTTGATTTTTTTAATGCTCATCTCTGGGTTGATTCTGACACTCAGTCACTTGTGGGGATTGCTGATGTGGACAATGCCTAGGGATCCTTCTAGCTAAAAAGTTGAGACCCTATTTTTTGGATTTACAGGGCCTCCTCAGGAAGGGGCAGGCACCCTCAGGTCTGCTGTGTGTGCCCTACCATTCCTCTCTCTGTATCACAAACTGGCACCTAGAAATGGGTCTCCATGCCCAGTTGTTGCTGGGGCACCCTCTATGAAGCCCTGCTGGCTAGTATTCCTGTAGGACATATTTTCTGATTTCCAGGAGTCTGAGGTTCTACAGAATGACCCTGGGGAAACACAGGAGTGGCATTTAGACAACAGCATTCTGTAAACACAGTGCCAAGAGCTAAAGGAAAGAATGGGGGTGGGGTTGATCGGAGGGAAGACACGGATGGATTGGTGGGGGCCCTTTGGGTAGGGAGATCTCATGTGCGAGGCTGGAATGAACATGAGGTGCTGTCTCCTTCCTTTCTGGTGACTCAGCTGTGTGGGGAGCTGGGGATAGAGACCTGTCACCCAGAGGGTTCTATCCCCAAAACGTAAACAGTCATCTTTCTGCGGGTACAAAGTCCTTGAGGTTTAGGCCCAGATCTAAAGCAGGGCAGAGAACTTAGAACTTGGTAGCTACAAAAAAGTTTTGAAAATCTTGCTGGCATTGCTGTAATAGGCCGTAGCCTCTGTAACAAGGATATTTGCCATCATATTGAAAATAGTAAGAAAGGAGGAAAGAAAAGAAAGTGCACAGTGCTTTTGAATACATAACCTAGACACTCTGCAGAGGCTTTTTGTTGTTGTAGGGCTTTTGGATTGTGTGCTTGTTTTTTTTGTGTGGTTTTTAATTTTGTTTTGTTTTGTTTGCCCTTTGTTTTTGCTTCAGCTTTGAGTTCCCCTCCACCCTCAAAAGGAATAGAATTTTACTGGAAAATGAAAATATAGAAAAGTGAAGAAATCTTAACTGACCCAGAAGTATATCCTTAATATATACATCCTTCCAGTAATAGTAATAAAAAAACGCCTAATGGTTTTTCAAAGACACTTCTCTATAATTAAGAAATTTGTTATCCTATTACCCTTGCCCTTCAATACACACACACACCAGAAACAACAGTCATCTGCCAGTAATTCCTAGCGGGGCCCATTTACCAGCTGTGCACTGATAATGATTTACTTCGTGGGCAGTACAGTTGTAAATGCTCTTCCTCCGGTTTATTTCACATTTGCCCTGCTCCCTGCCTCCATCAAACAATTACTACATTTTTGTCAAGATAAAAGTGTATTCACATGTTTTTATAGAGTCCTTCACCGTGGTTGGAGATGCCCTACTCACCTGTCTTCTCAGATAAAACTTGGCATTTAAAATCTTACAAATCTAGATGAGCAAAGAGCTGAAGGTTCTCAGATTCCTTTGATTAAAGACTGACCACAGTCTCTAACTACATTTGCATTTCCAACTCTGTATTGTGGATCCATAAGCTAAGAACATTGCTTTTATTAAAATTAGGTTGGTTTTACTTATCTTACTGAGCCCGTACTCTGTGCAGAGAACTGTGAGTTCTCTGGATGCGAGCAGCTTACAGGTCAATGGCAAAGACAGGGCTGTATGTAGAGAAATTTGTTATCCTATTACCATGGGTCCCTAAGTGTGTATTGTAATTTCTAGAAAACTCCTAAGTGTTCTGAAAACCCTACCACTCCTTAGTGAACATACATTCACAGTGGATGAGGATATTGTACCTAATGAGTAAATTCTGCCTCCCACTTCCATGCACAATATTTAAACAGCCACCAGTGCAAGTGTGTATAATGGACCACCATAGTCTTACAAATGTTCTGAGACTCATAGCAACAATTTCTTATGACAGGGAAAAAATCATTACTTCTCAAAGAAACCAACATTTTATTTCAGACATAGATACCAAGTAAAAACAGTACTTGTATTATTTTTCTTTTTAGTAGTTTGATACTTTTCTTGTATTAACCTTGACTTCGAAGAAATTTCATAGGCTTACATCAAAAACACTTGGGAAATTTGTCTTGGCTCTGTTCCAATGAGGCCAGTTATTCTAAAAGGGGTTACTGGATTGTGTTGGGCCTTCATGTGGTGTGTATTTTAGAACCCCTGAATTTTAAACTATTTGAGTTCCTTTGTAAGGATCCTTTGATAAAGTGGCTAGAAGAAAAGACTTGCGTGAAACTCTTGAGTCCGATTTCTGGCTGTACTGCTATTGTCTTACATGGCTGAGCCTGGGTAAGTCTTGTCTCAGTTCACACTTCAGGCCCCCAGTGAGTGAGGTGGCTGTGATGACGCTCTTGTTTAACAGGCAAGTAAAGCCAGGGTGTTAAAATCTGTGGAAGAAAGGAACCATGTGGAAGAGCATGTGCTAATGATCTGTCTGATGAGAATTGTGTGTATAGATTTGTGTATACACAAATATGGATGTTTACTGTATGAATCAATGTATGAATGTGTCCGAGAACTCCGGAGTTGATAAGGGCTTGTAATGCACTTAAAGGTAGCTCACCACAAGAAAATCTTCCTGTCTGAAATCAGCATTGCAGTCCCAGCCATTTCCTGAAGCTACCGCCCTCACTTTCTCCCCAGCTCTGAAATGCTTTTCACTCTCTCTACCTAGGCTGAAGCCGATGTAGCTTCTCTGAACAGACGCATCCAGCTCGTTGAGGAAGAGTTGGATCGTGCCCAGGAGCGTCTGGCAACAGCTTTGCAGAAGCTGGAGGAAGCTGAGAAGGCAGCAGATGAGAGTGAGAGGTGAGAATGCCCCATCAGCCATCTTTTGCAGCTGCCTTTCCTGGTGGAATAAACCGGAGGGCTCCCGTGATCTTTGAGGTTTAAGAATTTTTCAGTCCCCTGGTGGTGGGATCATTTCCTCTATTGATCCCAGGTATAACTCGGTTGGTTTTGTTCATTTAGCATCAGTGAAACACCTACTATGTCCAAAGCACTGTCCTAAGCCCTAAGGTTACAAAGAAGAAGAAGATCTTGTTCCTGCCTTCACAGAGCTCACCCTCTAATGAGGCAGACAGATATGTAAAGGAGAAATGTCAGGGATAGGAGTTGGCCCTTTCATTCCTACTGACCACAGAGCAGTTGTGCATTTGTTAAAGTATAACTTTATTTTATAATATACCAAGGAGGCTTAGGCCTAAATAAAGGAACTGTGGACTATCAGTTGTCAAATAGCTTAACAAATAGGTGGAAGAAAAAACACAAAGCAGAAATACAGTCTGCAAAAGTAAAATATTTTGGACTTGGTCTCTATACACACAAGACACGTGCACACAAATAGTCAGATGCTCTTGTGTTCTGAGCCCACCTCTGCTGTAATCTGGCTCTAGCTGAATTATTACTCTAAGATTCAGCTCTGTGGTAGTAAAGGAAAGCATGGTTTGTATAGACCAGCACAGCCTTGGGTGGTCTAGAAGGCATTTTCCCTTATGCTCAACTGTTGGAATTAAGGATTTGCCGTATTGCATGGAAGTACTTCAAGAGAGACTCCATGAAGTGAGAGAGCGTTCTGCTGCTTGAGGGATGGCATAGCATGAAGGGCTCAGAACACTGAATGTGTATCTATCTGTGCTGTGACCTGGGCAAGTGAAGGCAGTCAGTCATCTTGTCCATTTCTCACTCTTTGAAGTGATCCTGCCACCAGGTACCCGGTATAAAGAGTGATTTCAGACTTTAGGATTCAAGAAGATTTTTAGCTAAACTTTTTAGGCCATTATCCACTGCTGCTTAGTGTTTCTTTGCTAACCAAGCATTTTGGACTTCTTTAAGATGCCTAATCATCTCTTACAGTGTACACATAAGAGCGGTTTTTGTGGCTGACTTCTTTCTGAAATATACTTGTTAGCGCACCTTAAAGGCAGTCTGGTAATGTTAGACTTCGAAGTAAAGGGGACTTGGGGGTCATTTAGTCCCTTAGTTTTACAAATGAGAAAACTAGGGTTCAGAGACGAATGTGACTTGCACCAAGGCTCACAGCATATCTGTAGCTAAGCCAAGACTGCGACCCAGATCTCCTCAACTGTATTCCAGTGCTTCATCAAAAGATAGTGGGCCAGATGCAGTGGCTCACACCTGTAATCCGAGCACTTTAGGAGGCCAAGGTGGGCAGATCACTTGAGGCCAGGAGTTCGAGACCAGCCTGGCCAACATGGCATAACCCCTAAATCTACTAAAAAAGTACAAAACTTAGCCAAGTGTGGTGGTGCACAGCTGTAATTCCAGCTACTCGGGAGGCTGAGGCAGAAGAATCGCTTGAACCTAGGCGGTGGAGGTTGCAGTGAGCCAAGATCACGCCACTGCACTCCAACCTGGGTGACAGAGTGAGACTCTGTCTCAAAAAATAAAAATTAAAAAATAGTGGTTCACTTATACTGCCTACTTAAATTTTGATAAATGAATTCCATTTTACATGACTTGTTATTCCATATATCTGTAAAATATCATAGGTCAGTTAGTATTTTTCTGAAACATAACACCATGCCATAGGACCCTAATACACTCAGTGTAGAGGACAGTGTCAGGCCTGTCTCCCAGCATTGCTGTCATGAAAGGGTTCCATTACAGGTAAAACTTAATTTGAAGCATTCAGTTGAACCATAGGAAATTGCCATTATTACTTGTCTGAAATGGTCAAATATCAGCATTTTTTGTGGGCCTACTAGTTTATTAAATCTAATATTAAGTCTAATATTTTATTAAGTCTATTATTTTTGCTTATGGTTGGCAGGGTAAGAAGATTCTTTGTAGAAAGAGGTATATAAAGATAAGTTTGATTTTGTTCTAGCTTTGATTCATGTGCAAGCTGAGGCTTCCCACAGGAAAGGCAAGAAATCTCATTATCTTTTTAATAGTAAAGCATATTGGCTTTTCCGGTTTCATGCTGCCAAGATTCAGACAGGATCCTGACATGGTACCTTTTATCATTAATGTTAGATGCCTGATAGTTTGATCGGTACTCAAGGTGAGAGAGTTCATTCACAGTGAATGAACAGAGAGAAATGTGTCTCTTTTTTCCACCTTTAGCTCTGGAAATTGTTGTTTCCTGGTTTGGAAAATAAAAGTAGCTCTGTGCTCTATTTTGGTCTACCACTTACACTAAGCCTCACAGGCCACAGCAGTGCAGTGTGCATTTGGGAAAGTCAGCTCTAAATCTTGGGTTTTCCTGCTTGTCTTTCTTTCCAGAGGCATGAAAGTCATTGAGAGTCGAGCCCAAAAGGATGAAGAAAAAATGGAAATTCAGGAGATCCAACTGAAAGAGGCCAAGCACATTGCTGAAGATGCCGACCGCAAATATGAAGAGGTCAGGTCCTGGGGCCCACAGCCTTGTGGACTTCCAACGGTGGCCTTCAGGAGGCCAGGGAGCAATGCACAGTCTTGATTCCTCAGTGAGGCCATCTGCTTGGTTGGCAGAAATGGGTGGTTTCGAGAAGCAAAGTTCCTTTGTCTCCAGAAAACAGTTCTCATTTTAATCCTGCTAGGGGATCCCAGGCTTTATCAGGAAGCCGATCAGTGGCACTGGGAAGAAGGACCAAAACTCCTCTCCCCAAACCACAAAGACCTGGACAGAAGATCTTTGGCCAGAAGGGAGAGTTGGGCCCTGTGTCTTGTGACAGGAGGCTTTCATGCTGTCATGGTGCAAGTCACTTCTTCCCAGAGTCACCTGGCACATCCAGATTGGGCAACCCAGAGACCACAGACAGTGTCTCAGTGGATTCATGGAGGCCTCTCTCCTCAAGGGTGGTAGAAGACTATTATCAATGCAGATTTTCAGTAGAATTTGCTGCTGGTCATGTTCCCATGAAAACAGCCTCCTGCGATAAGAGGCAATATGATTATTAAGATTTCTGTTTTTTCCTTATTGGATCACATTGTGGCTATCCTGAAACAGCATTGCCCCTCCTTTTCATTATCATTATTACCTTCAGATTACACTGTGTTCACAAGTTTGATCTGCTTCAGAGGCTCCCTTCCTCTCTCTGGTTCTTCCACTAAATACAAATTTGATTTTGTCAATTATCTTACCAACTTGTGTCACGTTCGTGTCTCTCGTATTCTTCCTCTGCAATAAGGAGGTAGATGTACAGATCAGCCATCGAATTGAAGGAGTTCTTAGGTTTATTTTGTTTTCCTGGCAGCCCCCACCTTTTCAGTATATGTCTCATCCTACTGCCGTTTTTGAGATTGTGAATTTGTATTTTCTCCCTCCTTCCACATTTTGGCCTGGCTGCCAGTTCCAGATCAGACTTCCAATTGGGACTGCCCAAGGACAGCTGACCATTCTGAGTCTGAGCAGAAGCCTCTGATCTCCTCTCTGCTCGCACTCCTAATGGAGAGTTGCTGCTCTCCGGTCTACCAGAAAGAGGATCATATTGTTCGTAGACAAAACCCTTAGTGCCTGATGGGATCTGATCGCTACCCCCCTGCCCTCCTACACAAAACTTGCAAGATCCATGGTGTGTGTGTTGTGTTTTCCTGCTGCAGGTGGCCCGTAAGCTGGTCATCATTGAGAGTGACCTGGAACGTGCAGAGGAGCGGGCTGAGCTCTCAGAAGGGTAAGCAGGCCCGGCGCCAGGAGGCCACGAATGGGGTGCTGCAGAGCAGTGACTAAACAGCATGACCTTCTGGCAGCTGCACATTACCTGTTTCAGCTCCGGGCTCCTTTTGTGCTCATTTGATGTGGATGAGCCACGAGTATGGAACATGGAGGACTCGTGTGGGGTGTCTATGTATGAATGCGTGTATCACTGCATGCCTTACCTGCACACTGATTTTGTGAATGGCCTTGTGCATTTCCTGTGTCCACTAACAGCCAAGTCCGACAGCTGGAAGAACAATTAAGAATAATGGATCAGACCTTGAAAGCATTAATGGCTGCAGAGGATAAGGTACTGATGGCTCATGTGTGGTTTTTAGGTTTAACTGCAACCCAGACGTCTTTCAGCTTCCAATGCCTACTGGTTCGTTTGGTATAACGACTGCACCTTCACTTCACCCTCTGCTATTTATATCTTGCTTTAAGTGCTTTCCCTTGGTCCTTTATGCTCCTTTGTTTTCCCTTCATAAATGCTCTTTGGGCAGCCAAAAAAGGAGCCAAATTATTGCACTTCAAAGTTGTTGGATTTTGTCACCCTGCCTTCTGCTGTTGCGAGGTTGGGGGGCAGTGTTCCTGGCAAAACTAAACATTTTAATACCCGATGATTTGGCTACTTTCAGGCAGCCCTTCGTCTCTAGGACTCGGTTTTCATTTTTTCCCATCCCTCTCCTTTTTCTCTCCTCCTTCCTTTGGCTTGTCTCCCACCCTTTCTGCCTCTGATCGAAAACGTTAGCAAATGTGCCGAGCTTGAAGAAGAATTGAAAACTGTGACGAACAACTTGAAGTCACTGGAGGCTCAGGCTGAGAAGGTAGGCCAGGAGCATGGTGTGGGGGAAAGGCGTCTTTTAAGAGCTGCTCCAAAGAGGCCCTGCCAGTGAAAGCAACACATACAGTAGACATTTTAGTAAATGGCAATATTGTGAGGTGATTTTTGGAGAGTTACTAGGTAACAAATTCATTTTATTAGCTAGAGAATTTATTTTATCTTAGGGATATGAGTCATCAATTTAATTTAACCCAAGTGCCAAGTGGATAAGTTATCTTGTTGTTATCCCATGTAAAACAATAGGCAAGAAAGCAGAGAACGTATTGCAGTGTGCCATTCGATATCAGAGGTTCCATTACCTCCTAAGAGATCCTTAACATCTGTTGGCTGGGCTGGCGAGTTCTTTGCATGAGAAGCCATGAGTAGATTGAGCTGCAGCCTGACATCTGGAATGCTCTTTCTAATTACAGTACTCGCAGAAGGAAGACAAATATGAGGAAGAGATCAAGGTCCTTTCCGACAAGCTGAAGGAGGTAATATGAGAGTTGTGGATGAAGCCAACTGGATTTTAAATGAGTTTGTTTTCATGGAACTGGTCAGGGCCTTTTCATTTTAAAGTTCTAGTGATCCAAGTCAGGCATATTCTAAGGTTGCCTTGGAGTGTGTGTACAGTGCTAGCTGCCATTTCTCACAGAGGTGACTGAAACTGACAAGTAGTTTCAGATCCACTTTATGGGTGATGTGCTTCATTTACATCCTCTAGTTTCCCTGTGTTTATAGCTGCGGGAAACACCAAACTTCCTAACTTTAACTCAAATAAATCATTACAGGCTGAGACTCGGGCTGAGTTTGCGGAGAGGTCAGTAACTAAATTGGAGAAAAGCATTGATGACTTAGAAGGTAAGATCTTAAGTAGTGTTTTTAGTTTAATCCTTCTGGTGAAATAGTGATGTGGCAAAACAATTTTCCAATTCAAGGGCATCCACCTTGATACGCTCCTTTGCACCTGCACATTCTTCCTGTCTGTCCTCTGGGGTTTTCCTCTGTGGCTCTTAAACTCATGAACCTGAGTCTTCTGTTCACCAGGTGACTAGTTAGCTACCAGCCATAGTGGCAGATGCCATCCAGCTTGACTTCATGCTTATTAGAAGTGTGGCAGGTTTATTTTTCATTGTGAGTGAGGTGCTTATAGGTGAGAATGACTCAGTATATTTTATATCTTTAGTGTTACTTCCTAATTAAATTGGGAATGATGTGGTGATTGTGGACTTGTTTTTAGAAGAACCCATCTTCTTCCAAGTATGAATTCAAAGTAAGGATTTGGGGATTTTTTTAAGTCATATATTATCTTATCAAACTACTTTATATCCTGAAGGAGGAGGGAAAAATTATACTTAAGCATTTCTCCCCTAAGGCACTTAGGTTTTATTTTAGTAATAACCACTCTATCTCACCGATATCCTAAATGTTGAGCTTTGAGGTTTGTGAAGGATTAGCTGTGAACAAGAAAGAAAAAAGACAAACAAATATATACATCACAGAAGGGATTAGAGAAGGAACTAGTGTTTGGTACAGATAATCAAAATAGTGGAGAAGAGAGAATGACAAATGGTTGCAAAATGATCTGCCAAAGTGCAGCAAAGTATGAAACCTGCAGCATTACAAAACTAAATTGCAGACTTGCCATACCACTGCCATATAAAGTGTGGCACTCACTGCTTTTCAAGCCTCCTGGACCAGTAATAGGCAGCTTGAGTGGGAAGACCACAGGAGTAGCTTAAATGACACTAAGAAATCGCTATCCCAGTGGTCTAGTGTGGTCAGGAAGTCGGTGGTTTGAAGGTGGAGCCAGATAAGGACTACAGGCTGTAGTCACAAATTGTTCTTCCAAAACACTGCCGTTGGATTTTTTTTTCCCTTTGTTCATAGCTGCAGATGGCTGACTACTCCAGTGTAATTAAAATATAGCTCTGCAAAAGAAAGATGTTCCATTAGCCCCTGTCTCCCCTCACCAGGAGACAGCCTTCTGTGGTTTCGTTTAGGATTTAACATGGTTTACTGATATACCTACCATATTTGTTATGATTTTCGTATTGAGTCTTTCTCATTTTATTTTCTAATGGGTTTTGTTCTCTTTGTTTTTGTTTCAATTTATTTAAAACAAAACGCACGCCTCCTGCATTGGCCACCTGCTGCGGCACCAACCCCTTCATGCATTGCCCTTTTCTTGCTGCTGTGTTGGGATGGTGCATGCACCACCCTCACTCACCTTCCATCTCTTGATCACTCTCCATGTTCTTGCACCTCTGCCTTCCACTTCCTGGTCATAGACGAGCTGTACGCTCAGAAACTGAAGTACAAAGCCATCAGCGAGGAGCTGGACCACGCTCTCAACGATATGACTTCCATGTAAACGTGCATCCACTCTGCCTGCTTACACCCTGCCCTCATGCTAATGTAATAAACTCACCACCATCCCTTCCTTGCTCCCAGATCTCCATCTTTGCACTCTTGTGTTCACCCTTTTTGTCATAACCTAGAATAGTTATTGTTTTTTCACTTTCTACTAATATGAAGGCCAGCTAGATTAAGTGTCTATACAAACCATTTTCTTTTCAGAATCCTTTTATTTTGTAAGTGCTAAACTAGAGCAGTGAACTAGAATGAGTGACCTTGAGCACTATCCTTTTGGGAAATTAAGCTAAACTCAAGTAAAACTAGACGGCCATGCCGTTTGTTGTACAGGAACATCTCAAGAAATATCAAAACTTTGTTTCCTGAGATTCAACTAAGTACAACATAATCATTTTCATAAAATAAATAGAAATTGAAGGAACCCTTAAAGTGTCAGGTTATTGAGAATCTGAGGACAAGGAAATTGGCATGATCCAATACAGCCCTAACAGTGGTACTATAAAAGATCATCTCTTTTACTTTTAAGAATTCTAGAGTAGGCCAGGCACAGTGGCTCACGCCTGTAATCCCAGCACTTTGGGAGGCCAAGGCGGGCGGATCACGAGGTCAGGAGATTGAGACCATCCCGGCTAACACGGTGAAACCCCGTCTCTACTAAAAATACAAAAAAAATCAGCTGGGTGTGGTGGCGGGCACCTGTAGTCCCAGCTACTCGGGAGGCTGAGGCAGGAGAATGGCGTGAACCCGGGAGGTGGAGCTTGCACTGAGCCGAGTCACACCCCTGCACTCCAGCCTGGGCGACAGAGCCAGACTCCGTCTCAAAAAAAAAAACAAAAAAACCCAAAGAATTCTAGAGTGAAAAGAACCCTCTGCTGAGTAACTAAGCCTTTTAATTTTCTGTTTTCATGAAAAGAATTAAAATACCCACGATAAATACTTACCACAACCTGTGTCAAAGAAATGGGAAATTCAACACAGATTGTACAATGTGAGCTTGGGAGTTAATGGCCCACATTTTACTGTTAGGCAGTAAGAGTTGGAGTAGGTAGTCTTGTTATCATGAGAAGAACCTTCAACAGATACAACTAATTTACGTATTTACGTATTACTAACCAAACTTCAATATTAAACTTATCCTACTACTTTAAATTCTAACCTGGAATGTTTCAGAGTTCTTCATTCTAATATCACCCTAAATTCCACTGAAGCTGGAAATGTCATTTTCCAAGCCCACCTGTCATTGATTTACCCATGCAGGAAAAATGGTAACTTGAAGAGTATGGCATGTGCCTGTGGCCTTAGAGGTTATAGAATCCCCACACTCAACAAAAAAGCCCCTAGAGACATGACTGTTGCCATGGAAACCAGAGAACAGTCTATCTTCTCACCCCTCATTTGTAAATGAGGGGGTGGAGCTGATCATCTGTCTCTAAGGTCTTTTCCAGTACTAAAATGTGGTGATTTCTTTGGGAAAAACTTTTTGCATCAAGTATGATTAAATATTCTGAAAGATGAGTGTAGCTTAAAATTTGTTTTTAAATTCTGTTCATGGGTTTTCTTAAAATGGACCCTTGCTGAAAGGCGGCCTGTGACGGCCTCAGGTGGGACAACCTCCCAAGGGTGTGGCTGGCAGTGGGTTTTGCATGACTGCTTCTTGTCTGTGTTTCAGGTGCTGTCATCTATTGGTTTGGTTTTCTTTTTTCTTTCTCTTTTTTTTTTTTTTTCTCATCGCGCCACTTTTTTTTTCCTCCCACCTTTTTATCTTCACGCAGATAAGTTTCTTTGCTTCACTTCTCCCAAGACTCCCTCGTCGAGCTGGATGTCCCACCTCTCTGAGCTCTGCATTTGTCTGTTCTCCAGCTGACCCTGGTTCTCTCTCTTAGCATCCTGCTTTAGAGCCAGGCACACACTGTGCTTTCTATTGTACAGAAGCTCTTCGTTTCAGTGTCAAATAAACACTGTGTAAGCTATTTCTGTTTGCTATTCTTTTTACTTCTTATTTATTGACATTTTAGTTTCAACATCGAATAAAACTACAAAGCTGCTTCACACATATGAGGGTTAGTGTTTGACTGCTGCTGTCTTTTTCTTTTTAAATTCTGAACACTATACAGAATTGTATCAGGAGTTTCTAAAGCAGTGGTTCCTTGTTGAACTTTAACAAAATACCCAGGCCTGCATCCCTCTGTTTTTCAAAGGTTAGAATGAGGTCTGGACATCTGTGGGGGTTTTGGGGGAATTGTGATGGCTCTGCTTTGGAGTCTGGGACACACAGGGGACATTGCTTGTTGAGAGTTGAAAGGTCTGGCTTGATCAGTGTGTTCCTTTGCTGGAGGTTTAGCTCAGGATGTAGTGACCCCTCTATGTTGATGTTTCGGTGGCCCTGCTTGGGACCAAGGACCTGGCTAACTAATCAAAGGCTCATGATGAATGGTTCCGTAGCTGTCCCATATTACTAGGAAGTTATACATTGAGAAGGGTGAGAAAGAATTTGGATTCAAACAATGTAAGTTTTGGTTATTGTCGATCATCCCTTTATAGCACAAAGAAAAGTTCAAGCTTTTTTGAAGTATATTCATGACTCAGCCACTTTTATTTTGGTCATGAAAATGACACCTTAGGTTTTCTAAATATGATTACTCTGGTCAGTCATGATTTGTGATTTTTAGCACATACTCTTTTGGAGGGATTGTTCATAATCTTTGTGTTCAATGGCTGTGTTTTCATTTGTGGACATTTTTAAAATACAGCAATGAAAGTTTCTTTTTTTCTTCCCAAAAAGATAGTTGGTGGAAATTGTTCAGAAGACAATTGTATTTCATTTGGGCTTCTGTTTTATTTCACAAACAGCAATTAACTGATTTTTTTAAAAAAATACATTGCAAAAATTAGAACTTTGAACTTTTTTATATGGACTTTAGTGTCATAATCCCCAACATTTCTCCTTCCTCAACAATCTAGCTATATATTTCTCCTGGTTTTCTTTTTTAACATGGATGATCTGCATGTTTTGTATATAGTTTTTGTAGCCCGAGAGGGCTGATACACCACCATACTGAAATAAATTTGGACTAACTTGATAGTGTCATTCTCACTCTACAGAGACTTCAAAGCATAGAGGAAATACCTTTTTAAAAGAAAGCTGAGAATTAAAGTATTGTGGTTGTAGTATGGTGGACTTTTAGAATCTGGATGGTGTCTCTCCCTTGAGTGTATAAAGACTTCTATGATTTCATGTTTTTCTTAAGGCTCCTTGGGCCTGCTTCTATGATTCCTTCCTTGTTCTTTTTTAAATTCAGAATAAGAGAAGAGTACCCTTCTCTGAGTAAATCCTGCTTCCTGACGTAGACAAAATGCCAAGTCTGAAAGTTCTGCTGAGCAGATGTTCATGTAATTCTGGAGGCACATCTGTTTTTTGGAAATCCTTCCAGAGACTTTCACACTTTCTATCAGTATGCTCTACAAGGGGAAGTGGGGCACTAATGGACTGGGAGGGCAGGTCAGGAGTAGCCCAAGGTGTGCACATGCAAGAGGCAAACAGCAAATCAAGTTTATCAAGAAATTGTTGGAGCCCAGGCTTCTGGTTCAAAGGGCCAGGTCATAGCTACAGCTGCTCCAGTGGAGGCCAAACCAAAAGCATCACTGAGTTTGGGCACTTGAAGCTTCAGACAGCTGGGAGTCTCCATAGAACGGAAGGAAAACACTTCCAAGGATATGAGCACGTCTTGTGCCTGCCTTTCGGCCACCCATGCACACCAGCTCCACAGCAGCTGAAGCAGAGCAGGTCCAGAGGAGGCTGTCGGAGGGACCGCTGTCCTTCCTGCTGAGTTCACACTGACCCTCTGGATTCTCCAGATTTTCGCCAAAGTTCTTCCATTCTAGCCTGACCAAACATTTGGGCTCAGCAAACTGAGACATGCTCCCTACCCATGGTGACAGTTCCCTGTGTCCGTAGTGTGAATGTAGTCATGGGATTTATGTCTTGCAACCCCCAAGCATATGTCACTTGCAAAACACCATGGGAAGCAGTGGGGGTGTGTAAAGAGATGGGCTGGAAAGGCTCTTTGCCCTCGATGAGCTGGCCATCTGGTGGGGAGATAGAGGAGTGAAGCGAGTCTGAACTCATAGGCATGTGCATTTGGAGCCAACAAGGAAGAGAGAACTGTTCTGACTGGGAGCTCCCTGGAGGAGGTAGCTGACATTTGACTGGGGTTTTGCGTATTCAGAAAATGTGGATGAGTGAGGAGGACAGAGCGGCAGATATTCCAAGCGAGAAAACATAACAAGCATAGCATCCTCCCATGTCCTACCATTTATGAGAGAATGTTAATGTGAGAACTGCTCAATCTCCCAACAGACCTGGGGGCTGCAGGCACATTTTCCCCAGGGGTAGGACTGTTAGCTTTTCAAGATCATGAAGTATTTCTAGGTCCAAGTTGTCACCAGCATTCAAAGCTACCGTGCATCCTCCGGCTGTTGCCAGTGCAGAGCAGGCTCTTGCTTGTCATAGTGTGGGTGTCCCCTGGATCGTCAGATACAGACACTCCTGCAGTTGTTTTCCCCCAGAAGCAGATCACGTGTCAGTGTGTAAAATGTATATCACGCTGGTCTTCATGTAGGTGTTGCAAGTTCTGTTCATTTTATACACATCCATTAGCACCACACATGAATGCCATCCTCTTTAAGAAGTAAGCAGATAGGGCTGGGCGGGGTGGTGGCTCACGCCTGTAATCCCAGCACTTTGGGAGGCTGAGGCAGGTGGATCACGAGGTCAGGAGATCGAGATCATCCTGGCTAACACGGTGAAACCCCGTCTCTACTAAAAAATACAAAAATAATTAGCCGGGCGAGGTGGTGAGCACCTGCAGTCCCAGCTACTAGGGAGGCTGAGGCAGGAGAATGGCGTGAACCTGGGAGCCGAGGTTCCACCACCGCATCCAGTCCGGGTGACAGAGCGAGACTCTGTCTCAAAAAAAAAAAAAAAAAGAAGTAAGCAGATAAATTCTAAATCAGTGTTGAGTGGTGACAAGTGCTTGTTCTTTTGCTGTTTGAATGGATAACACTATCAAAGCTAGATGAGAGTCAGAATGTGTACCCTGTATCGTGGTGACTGGGGGAAGGACAGGGACTTAATTCCAAATTTCAGAAAATTTCAGTGCAGCAAAAGCAGTAACCCCCAGTTGGTACTACCTGAGGGGAAAGCCTGCCCTGTGAGTGGAGAGGAAAGGGGTTCTGGAAGAGGTGGGCAGCACCGGGCAGGTCGAGGTTTCACCTAAGTTCAACATAGCCCTAGCAAGGGGTGGATGTCGCACTGGGCTCACCTCCAGCCAGGCCTCCATTCCCAAATCTGTTGCTAGCTCACAAAGTGTATGGCTCAGCTCACAAAGTGAGCTCATGTATGGCTCAGCTCACAAAGTGGTTTAGTGAGGTGTAAGAGGAACGTGCACTCTTCCTCCTCCTCTTATCATGTTGCTCCTCCTCCCCTCCTTTCCCCACCAAGAGAGAAATTCTGACCCTTCCTAAGTCTACCAAGCTTTTTAGGATCTACCCTTCCTGAATACAGGACAGGTGACTATGGGGTAAGAGTAAACTGCTCAGCAAGTAACCAGTTGCTGTCCTGCTTGAGGTCTCTGTTCTCTATTAACTGCCTCTCACCCAGTCTGCTAACCTCTCTTCCTTCTGCCTCTTTTCTGCTAACCTGCTTGCTGACCTGTACAGATCAACTCTACCAGCAACTTGAGCAAAACCGCCGCCTCACTAATGAACTAAAGCTGGCTCTGAATGAGGATTAAACTTAAGAGTGAAAAAACTTGGGCTGAATTCTAGGAGTGGAGCCCACGTGCAGAAAATCTAAGACTGTCCTACCTTCAACTAATAGAGTTGAAAACAGTTGCTTTCTGCAGAAATGCAAATACAAGGAATTGGCTGAAAGGCTGGCCTTGCCTGCATTTTTCTCTGTATGGCTGGAATAATTACGTTCTCTTTAATCACAAAACAGCTTTTATGGTAAAATACTTATGTCAATTCAGCACTGCTCTTTGAAATAGCAGGTCCTTTTGTTTGAACTGATAAATAATGAGGAGCTCCCCCCCAAAAAAATGTTTTCTATTTCCCAACAGCCATGAGTCCTACTTATAAGTATACATATATATGTGTGTATATATATTCCTATTAGATATTCATATTCCTAACTTCTAAACATATGGTATAGTGTTTGAAATATGATTAAATGTTCCTATGCTTGGGCAAAATAGCTTTTGAAAACAGGAACTCATGCCAGAAGCTCCTGGTTGTCTGAAAGGTATGCTTTACTCAGTCTAATGGTGCTGTTGGAGTCTGGGGAGAATGTCATGCTAATACATAGAACACTATAAAAAATATTAAGAGAATGTCCTAATGAAGTGTGCATGAAACATGTTGATAATTTTTTATGAGCAACAGAAATAAATCATTTTAAAAGTTCTCAGAAAACCTATTTATGTCATCTTTGTTTTTGTGAGTTTGTGTTACCGCACAACTCCTAGACTTTTAACTGCCTGTACCTCCGAAATGCCTGCCGTTTGTAACTTCTCCAGTCTGTATAACAGTGCTGCAGCTGTATTTGGTTTTTTACCTCTCCCTGTTCCCACGGCACACACTCAGTGAACCTTCAGCAAACCCCATGTGCATTTTATCCTCAGTGCATTGTTGGTGGAGGTGCACCTGACTGCTCTATGAGAATCCGTGCCATGGCTCCTTTGGGTCAAAGACGTCCTCCCCCCATCTTAGGTTCTTGTCTAGAAATGAGTAATGTCTTACAAGCATGCCTAGTTCTAATAATCTCATCCTGTGTTTGTGATTGATGTTTGCCTGCCTAAATGTACAAACCACCATTGTGTCCAAAGCACAGCTATTCATGACTTAATTTTCTAATCCCACCACAGAGAAAGTGGCTCATGCCAAAGAAGAAAACCTTAGTATGCATCAGATGCTGGATCAGACTTTACTGGAGTTAAACAACATGTGAAAACCTCCTTAGCTGCGACCACATTCTTTCATTTTGTTGTTGTTTTGTTTTGTTTTTAAACACCTGCTTACCCCTTAAATGCATTTTTATTTACTTTTACCACTGTCACAGAAACATCCACGAAATACCAGCTAGGTCAGGGGGTGGAGAAAACACACACAAAAGGGCAAGCCCATGTCAGGGCGATCCTGGTTTAAATGTGCCATTTCCCGGGTTGATGTTGCCACACTTTGTAGAGAGTTTAGCAACACGGTATGCTTAGTCAGTGTAGGAATCCTCACTAAAGCAGAAGAAGTTCCATTCAAAGTGCCAATGATAGAGTCAACAGGAAGATGAATGTTGGAAACACAATCAGGTGTGGATTGGTGCTACTTTAAACAAAAGGTCCCCCTGTGGTCCTTTGTTCAACATTGTACAATGTAGAACTCTGTCCAACACTAATTTATTTTGTCTTGAGTTTTACTACAAGATGAGACTATGGATCCCGCATGCCTGAATTCACTAAAGCCAAGGGTCTGTAAGCCACGCTGCTCTCCGAGACTTCCATTCCTTTCTGATTGGCACACGTGCAGCTCATGACAATCTGTAGGATAACAATGTGGATTTCCACTGTTTTCAGTTCTTCATGTTAAAGTGAAAGATTTAGACACTACATCCAATTGGTAAAGGACATTTTCTTGAGACTTATAACTATATGTAAACATTGTATAATGACATGGAATAAAATGCACATTGTAGGACATTTTCTAAATTTGGTGGTCCTGTCATTTGTATGTTCTTCATTTGTGGACTTTTGATCATGCCACTGACCTGCCTTCCGCCACAAATAGGTTCTCAAAACGGTATCCCAGAGTCCAGGGGAAACTGGGTTTCATGTGTTGATTCTCAGAAACACTAAAGGCAGCGTTATTTTGGTCTGTTAAAGTTATAACCAAGCAGGAGAGGCCCTTTCCAAACGTCATTTTCAATGTTATTGGTGTATATCTGCACATCCATGTAGGACTTTGGCAGTGGCTTTACTGGTTTGGGGATTTTTCTTCCTGACATATTAGCTAAGTCTCTGGCAGTGGCATAGCCACACAAGAACCAGTGATGGGTTAATGTGCCAGATCTGCTGTTTTCCACCAGCAATGTGATTTGACTGAAACTAGTGCTTTAGCGAGTCTTTATGACCTTATGCTTCCCAACTCCTGTGAGTTCTCAATTCCAAGACGTCTCCATTTTCTCAGACTTGGAAACTAAAAATGTCATCAGTCATTTCCCTAGCTCTTGAAGACTCTAAGCAAATAAAAATAGATTACAAACAATACTGGCTTCAACTGTCTGCAGGGAGAAAAAAGGATGTTCTCACCAAAAGCAAACAGAATGGAAATAAATGAAAACTCATTTGGATGCAGATATATTTTCATTCAAAAGTATTAACTATCTCTGTAGCTGTATGTCCATGCCCCTTAATCAGGAGTCTCTTCTCCACAGAAAGACAAAGGCTGTAAGGCAAAGAATCCAAGCAGGGTCCCGGAGCCTGGTTTTAGGTCTCCTTCCAAAAAGCTGTCCCCTTGCTCATGGCAAATAAATGCACTGGTCTCAACCCTCCTACAGTTTCAGCACCCCTAGCCTCCCCTCTGCCAATCCTCAGCTAGGAAAAACCCTCTTTGCATCACTCTAGTCATGGAAGCCTTTCCTAAACCTGGCCTCTTTCACTTGGGAGCCAGATCTGGCTTCAAATCAGGACTCCACCTTTATTAGGCTGCCTAACCTGTCAAGTTCCTAAATCTGAGCTGCTCCATCTTTAAAATGGAGATGAGATTAGCACCTAGCTCATAGTTTATAATTGTGGGAGTCGAATCTGTAACCACTTCAAGTACACGGTACAGTACCAGGCGCCTAGGGCTTGTTCCATGTAAGTTAACTGCTCGGCCAGGCATGGTGGCTCATGCCTGTAATCCCAGCACTCTGGGAGGCTGAGGCAGGTGGATCACTTGAGGTCAGGAGTTCGAATGAGACCAGCATGGCCAACATGGCAAAACCCCGTCTCTACTAAAGTTACAAAAATTGGGCCAGGCACGGTGGCTCACGCCTGTAATCCCAGCACTTTGGAGGCCGAGACGGGCGGATCACGAGGTCAGGAGATCGAGACCATCCCATCCCGGCTCACACAGTGAAACCCCGTCTCTACTAAAAATACGAAAAACTAGCCGGGCGTGATGGCGGGCACCTGTAGTCCCAGCTACTCGGGAGGCTGAGGCAGGAGAATGGCGTGAACCCGGGAGGCGGAGCTTGCAGTGAGCTGAGATCGGGCCACTGCACTCCAGCCTGGGCGACAGAGCGAGACTCCGTCTCAAAAAGAAAAAAAAAGTTACAAAAATTAGCCAGGCACAGTGGTATGCACTTATAATCCAGCTACTCAGGAGGCTGAGGCAGGAGAACCGCTTGAACCCAGGAGGCGAAGGTTGCAGTGAGCCAAGATCATGCCACTGCCTGGATGACAGAGTGAGGCTCCATCTCGAAAAACAAAAAGTTAACTGCTGTGGTCCTCAACTTGCCATTTGTGCTCCGAAGACCACCCATCCTTGTGAAGCTAAGGGGAGACTAACATTACCCCAAGTTATGATGGCGGTTTTTAATACTTTCAGATGCCGTTTATGTGTGCTGAACAACTTGTACTCACAAGGGCTATTTCACTTAAGCCTCACATCACTGATGCTCAGAGACTCAGTTCAGTAGCTCCCAAATAGTGGGGTTGGACTTCAAACTCTGGCCCTCTGTGACTCCTGAGGCCTGCCTGGAATCTCCTTCCCCTTGTTTCAAACATTTTACAGCAGAAGAAAAACAGTTTCTAGACGACAAATGAAAACAGATGAAGCCGCAGGTATAATTAGGAGAGGAGGAGGCTGGGAAGATGGAGGTGGAGTCAACCGTTTAGCAGCTGACATGACCGCGAGGGAGTGGTTTAACATCTGACTTCCCCTCTGGGTTCCAGAGATCAGAGGAGATCAGTTAATTATGAAGCATCATGCCAATTCGAAGAATGATTACCTAATCTTTCAGATTAATATAAAAAAGGAGAACAGCCCTGTCTCTATGTGGTACACGCCTGGAGTATGACTGGGTGTGATAACCTCTGAACATGCCACTCTGTGAGGTCAAGGTACAGAGATTAGGACTCTTCAATATGCAAAGGCCAAGGCTGGAAGCTGAGATGGTCACCATTTAGAGAACCATGAAGTGTGGAGAGAGAATTCAAGATTCATATTCTAAATTCCATTGCTGAAACTTAGCAGGCCCAGATTTCAGAATGAAGAGCTGGAGCAGTTGCCCTGTTCAGAGTAAAACGTTGTGGAACTCCACAGAGAAAGGACACAGATAAAAACATAAGCATCTTCAAAAAATAATCGGAGTTCTACAGTTTGTTTTGTTGTTGTTGTTTTGCTTTTTTTTGAGACAGAGTCTCACTCTGTTGCCCAGGCTGGAGTGCAGTGGCATGATCTCAGCTCACTGAAACCTCCGCTTTCTGGGTTCAGGCAATTCTCATGCCTCAGCCTCCCGAGTAGCTGGGATTACAGGTGCATGTCACCACGCCTGGCTAATTTTTGTATAAAAATAAAGAGTAAGAAAGTACTCTAAAAAGTAGAGATGATGTTTCACCATGTTGCCCAGGTTGATCTCGAACTCCTGACCTCAAGTGATCTGCCCACCTCGGCCTCCCAAAGGGCTGGGATTACAGGCATGAGCCACTGTGCTGGCCTACAATCAGTTCTTAAGAGAAAAAAGAAAAGTGCTTTGTGGATACATTCTGAACTATTTCAAACTGACATTGAAGAGAACAATTCCCAGCGGTGGCTCACGCCTGTAATCCCAGCACTTTGGGAGGCCGAGGCAGGCGGATCATGAGGTCAGGAGATTGAGACCATCCTGGCTAACACGGTGAAACCCCATCTCTACTAAAAATACGAAAAATTAGCCAGGCGTGGTGGCGGGCGCCTGTAGTCCCAGCTACTCAGGAGGCTGAGGCAGGAAAATGGCGTGAACCCGGGAGGTGGAGCTTGCAGTGAGCCGAGATAGCGCCACTGAACTCCAACCTGGATGAAAGAGCGAGAATCTGTCTCAAAAAAAAACAAAAGAACAATTCCCCTCCTTATTTCCCCTCCTTATTGTTCCTAGAGGTGTCATTAGCAGAAACAAAATCTAATTTTTGCATATGCTGGTTTGTATCCTCCAAAGTTCAATACTTTGGGCCTGATTTCTTTTTTCTCCTGGAAAAAAAAATTTATATATATATCTGTTTTACTCAAGTATTTGAATGTGTGTTAACCATTTTTTCAACTTGTCAACACCATTTGTAGCAGTTTTTTTAAAAAAATCTACAGTCAGATACAGGGGGAAAAAAAATCCAAATTCTCCAATCAAAACAAAAAGCACTAGGGTGTTCAGGGAGCCATCATTTCCAGAATTGGAGACAAGGGTTTGGAAAGAAATTAGAAATGTTGGGCAATACAAGAAGTGTTCCTTCCATTATACATACTTTTTGACATTGAGGGTTTTCAGAGCTACATTCCTCCAACAGATGTCATCAATTTTGTGTGTCAATGAATGAAGCTCTGTTGAGAGTTCACTAATATGAATGTAACTTTTGCCAAATTCTTGACAAATGGGCATCAACCCAGAGGAAAAGGCTGGTTGCTGCTGCCTGTGAGAGCTTGCTTTCCATTTGTCACCAAAGCCATGGAGAAGCAAGGGTCGAGTCCAGGCCACATCAGGGCCTGCCGAGGCTGTTGCCCTAAACTTAAATGCTGATTCAGAACTGGAAGGAGCCTTCAGATCATTGAGGACAGAGAAAAACGAGACCTAGAAAGATTTAGTGTCTTGCTCAGAGTCATCCAGCTCCCGTCAAGGCGGGCAGTGCAGCGCGGG